CCTTTCCGATGCGAATGTAAAAACAAGCACGGCTTAACACTTTCTGCACATACCTGGCATCTTTGGTGGTCACTGTTGCCTGGGACTGCATTTCAGGGTTTGTTTAGAATAAGTCACTGACTTAGTTGTCTTTCGTGTAATCCATCCACTCGCGAACTGGATTGACACTTGTGACACTCAAAGTAAATCCACTACTCCAGTTGTCATAAGTTCCTTTTAAACCGTCAATCGACTTACGTCGACAATATGCTGCGCCTACCTGAAGACGAAGTCGCATGAAATTTCATCTTACTGTACCTGGCCCTGACTGGTGATGGCGTCGAGATGGTCAGACGAAAACATGTATGGACATTGTAGAAACTGATCTCACATACATACCTGGTCTTGTGCTTTTCGGCCTGCAGGGCCGATTGGTAAAGTAGGGCAGTCCCTCTTGAGAATCTGCCCCCGATCGACTGGAATGGGGTGTGAGAGGGAAACATGATGAATTGCCCCACAAGTAAGCAATGCTTAATTAACTGTTCTGTTTTTCAGTGGTATGCTCGTCCTAAGGCAGATATATCAGCGAGAGAAAAACCCATGAATGACACTGGTTCCACTAGCCCTGTTAGCATTTTAAATCAAATATAAAGTACGCGAAAAAATAATATTTCATTAGGCAGCACATTCAGTCAAACATTGGAAAACAGCAAGTCAATATTACTGAGTGGCAAATGTCTTATCCACTAAATGGACCAATATATAATATTAGTAGCCTCCCCGTACTCTTGTGATACGTGCGCAACCTCGTACCACACTCATTACAGACGTAGGGTTCACTGCATGTGCATATGATCTGATAGAGTTACTAAATGACTAAATACATGGATACACAATGTTTAATTCATCGTTGTCGTGTATGCGCATTAGATTGAATTTGTTCATGCGGCGACCGAATTTGCGGACGCAATGCGGGCAGGGGGGTAAATGCAGAAAATTCTGATTTGGGTTCCAGTTATGCTCTGGTGAATTCTCGATGAATGACCAGGACGACGAAGAGCTGACATGTGCGATCGTAATGGGATCAAGTTGGCGACTGCGCCTTGTGACCTGGAGGCGATTCTACTGCGGTAGGCAGGAACTTGTTTATTCATGGTTAATTGAGATTGTTGTGATATTTTGCAGTTATGGTATGCTGGAGGATTTGTTTTATTATGAAATCGGGGCGGTTTGGACACGTCGACATCTCAGTGAACTCGAAGGTGTCCAGAAGGTCAATCCAGCCCTTGAAGGGACGTTTGCGGTTGTAGACTAGCAACGCTAATTTGCGGAAGGTCGGATATACGTGTCGAAAGTTGTGTGGTCGACAAGATAAAAATTCCCAATCAAAAGTCAGGGAAGACGGTTTGAATTGGACAACCTTTACTGCCTGAGGAAGTGCGTACACAAGGGCTCTGTAGGCAGTCGCCGCGAGCGTGCTCCAAGCAAGCTGTTGTCTGTATCCGCCTTCGAGGTGTTGTGTCAGCGCGTGTGTGCGCTTTCGTTGTCTCCACGTCGCCAGCCAATCAGGGTGGGGACAGCGTTGGTTGGCTTCGAGCGCTTGCGCGTCCCTGTAGCGTATCGACACGGAGTGTGAGGCGGACAGGACGGCAGCATGACAAAGGCGGAGGGTGAGGAGACGCGAACTGCTACAGTACCCCCCGGCTAGACCGAAGGTGGCGCGTAGCGATACCGAAGGAACTGTTGATGTCTAAAAAACATGAGTAACCAAACGGTCAGGAAAGTGAACATGGCGTCTACTACGGGTGATATATACAGGGGGCACAGGAGTAGAGTGAGTATGGCTTGCGGCTACAGTGTTGCTGGTTGATGAAGGAGTAGTTGCAGTTGTGGGTTGCGGACATGAGGGCAGAGGAAGTATACGGGACGGAGGGATAGAGGGTCGGGGAGGCGGAGCAGGGGGTAGGGGACCACAGGGCTCATCCGGAGGAGTGTCCGGGACGGCAGCTTTGAGACGGTCCACGCTCACGACCTCCTCGCGAGTGCCGCGTTGGATGCGGAAGTTCTTCGTCCCACGAGAGATAACTCGGAAGGGGCCATCGTAGGGTGGTTCCAGGGGCCGGCGGACTCGATCACATTGGAGATAGACGTGAGAGCACGTTGCCAAGTCCTTCTCGAGATAAGACGGAGAGGCGGAGGACCTGGGAGGAACCGGAGAAAGTGTCCGCATAAACTGCCGGAGGCGATGCAGGAGGTTGGTGGGATCCTCAACCGCACCTTGTGGGGTTGGCGAGATCATCTCACCGGGAAGTCGGACGGTGGCACCGAACACGAGTTCAGCTGCGGAACAATCAAGGTCCGGCTTCAGAGCGGAGCGGATGCCCAAGAGGACCAGGGGAAGGTGGTCCGTCCAGTTCTCCGGATCGGCCGCGGCGCGTAAGGAGGTCTTCAGCTGGCGGTGAAACCGCTCGACCATCCCGTTGGCTGCCGGATGATAGGCTGTAGTGCGGATGCGAGTACAGCCTAAAAAGGAGAGTAAAGACTGGAAGAGGTTAGACTCAAACTGGGCACCACGATCCGTCGTGATTTTGGAGGGTGCACCAAAGATAGCAACCCAACGACTGAGAAAAGCCTTGACCCCCCGTTGGAGCAGCAATGTCAGGCAGGGGAATTGCTTCAGGCCACCGAGTGAACCGACCCACGCAGGTGAGGAGATAGGAACAACCATTGGACAGAGGCGGGGGGCCTACAATGTCCAAGTGAACGTGGCTGAACCTTGAACCAGGGCCAGGGAAGGTGCCAATGGGGGCCTTGTTGTGCCGCTGGATCTTGCGCCGTTGACAGGCGATACAAGCCCGCGTCCATGCCTTGAGGTCCTTGTGCATACCAGGCCAGACGAAGCTGTCGGAAACCAGCTTGTCGGTTGCTCGACTCCCAGGGTGAGACAGATTGTGCGAGGAGAAAACTTTGCGGCGGAGAGATGGTGGCACAAATGGACGATGGGAAGGGGTGGATACGTCGCATAAGATGGTGCCGTTGCCAGTTTTCAGTGGTAGTTCCTGAAGTTGGAGTCCGGAAACATCTTCATCACAGGGTGGACCGACACGGCGTTGTTCAGCGGCCATCTCAGCGAGGTCTATCCCGGGTGAAAGCTGAAGATGAGCAATGGAGGGCCTAGACAGTGCGTCAGCCACCTCATTGCGTGACCCGTCGATGTGGCGGATATCTGAGGTAAACTGGGAGATGTAGTCCAGTTGGCGGATTTCCCGGGATTTAGTTTGTCAGTGTGGGAACGAAGTGCAAAATTCAACGGTTTGTGATCAGTGAAAACGGTGAAGTCACGACCTTCAAGGGAATGCCGGAAATTCTTCACAGCCAGGTAAATGGCAAGTAGTTCACGGCCAAAGGTACTGTAGCGTGTCTCAGCTGGTAAGAGCTTTTTGGAAAAAAAGGCAAGTGGTTGAGTCAAACCAGCAAGGTGTTGTTGAAGGACTGCACCTATGGCTACGGTCGAAGCATCTACCATCAGAGACAGCTGAGCTTCGGGAGCGGGATGTGTGAGTAAGGTGGCATCAGCAAGGGAATTCATGATTCTCTCAAAAGCAGTCGCTGCTTCACCAGTCAGCTCGAGGGGACCTTTGGGACCAGAAAACATGTTGGTGAGCGGCATCATGAGATCAGCACAGTTCGGTAGGAACCGGCGATAAAAGTTCACCATACCAAGAAACCGTTGCAACTGACGCTTCGAGGTGGGGGGTGTAAAGTCCCGAATGGCGGCAACCTTTGAGGGAAGAGGCCAAATGCCGTGGGAGTCGACCAGATGACCGAGAAATTCTAGGAAGGGCACACCGTAGACGCACTTGGACGGGTTGAGAACGACGCCAAATTGTTGAAGGCGGTCAAACACCGTTGCCAGATGTTCCATGTGTTCTTCGGTGGTGGAGCTGGCTACCAGAAGGTCGTCGATATAGGCGTAGACAAATGGTAAACCGCGAAGCACTCTGTCTACAAACCTTTGGAAGGTCTGGGAGGCGTTGCGAAGTCCAAACGGCATGCGCAGGAACTCAAAGAGGCCAAAGGGGGTGGTAACGGCCGTCTTCGAAACGTCCTCTAGGGCTATGGGAATTTGGTGGAAAGCACGGACCAGATCGATCTTCGAGAATACAGACTTGCCGAATAGGGCACCGGCAAAATCCTGAAGATGTGGGACAGGGTAGCGGTCCGGGACAGTAACGTTGTTCAGGGCCCTGTAATCACCGCAGGGGCGCCAGTCACCAGTGGCGGCCTTTGGAACCATGTGGAGGGGTGAGGCCCATGGGCTTTCAGACTGACGGATGATGCCCATTTGAAGCATGTGCTCGAATTCGGCCTTGGCGGCAGCAAGACGTGTAGGCGCGAGACGGCGGGGTCGAGAAAACACGGGAGGGCCGGTGGTCCGAATGTGGTGAACAACGTCATGTGGTGGAATAGAAACGTTGAAGTTGGGACGAGTTAGGCCGGGGTATTTGGCGAGGAGTTGCCGAAATGGATTCTCGGGTTCAGGGTCCAAGACAGCAAGATGACGGGAGGCGTCGGATGAAGGGACACCCCGGACAGTGAGGTTGGTGGTCTTGTTTTGTAGACGTGACTGACGGCAGTCGACCAGAAGATCGAAAGCGGCGAGGAAATCTGCACCAAGAATTGCACAGGGAATGTCAGCAACGATGAAGACCCAAGGAAAGAGACGCCGGAGACCGATGTCCAGAGAGAGGTAACAGGTGCCAAATGTGGTAATCGGCGATGTGTTGACGGCCTGTAGGAAAAGACCGGGATTGGGACACCGACGATCAGCTGGTGTGGGTGGAATGTCACTTAGCTGGGCACCAGTGTCAACCAAGAAACGTGTGCCACTCCGGGTGTCGCGGACGTAAAATGTGTGACCAGGGTTAGAGCTGTCGGAAAGATTGGCTGCACTGACCTTCGGGCTAGCCGGTTTTACCCGTTCGCTCTGCTTGAGGGTGAAGGAGCAAGGAGAGATGCAGCGACGGGCTTTAGCACCGAAGGTGGTGTGGTACCAGCAGGTGGCAGCTGCGTTTGGACGGGCTGAATGAAAAGACTGGACATGCGGGGTGGACGGCGGCGGTTGGCTCCGAGATGAGGCAGAAACTGTCTGCTTCTGGAGAGCGGCTATATCATCGGCCAGTTTGCTGAGCTCGATCTCTAACTGCGAAATGGGAGACGCAGGAGGAGATGAGGGAGTTGAGAGTGCTGAAATAGAGGGCTTGGAAAAACCGTGCATCTCCATAAGCCGATCAGCCATCTGAGTAAGTTGCGTGGCCGAAAGAATGCCGAAGGCGGGTGCCAAAATATGCCGCACTTCCGGTGGAAAATTGTCCATGATCAACGCCTGACTTTGTCGTAGCTTAGGAAGAACGAAGATTGCTGTTCGTAAGGAGTCACCAATTGTCGAAAGTTGTGTGGTCGACAAGATAAAGATTCCCAATCAAAAGTCAGGGAAGACCGTTTGAATTGGACAACCTTTACTGCCTGAGGAAGTGCGTACACAAGGGCTCTGTAGGCAGTCGCCGCGAGCGTGCTCCAAGCAAGCTGTTGTCTGTATCCGCCTTCGAGGTGTTGTGTCAGCGCGTGTGTGCGCTTTCGTTGTCTCCACGTCGTCAGCCAATCAGGGTGGGGACAGCGTTGATTGGCTTCGAGCGCTTGCGCGTCCCTGTAGCGTATCGACACGGAGTGTGAGGCGGACAGGACGGCAGCATGACAAAGGCGGAGGGTGAGGAGACGCGAACTGAAACATACGTCCTTACCGCTTTGACTCGGCCTCCTTTTTTCAGTTGACTCCAAGTCTTGCCCCTTCTGTACACTCGTCCGTCATCCCTGCCGATATTGTGCAATAATACGTCGAATATTTTGACTGAATTAAAGATACTTGATGAAGGTTTTCGTGTTGTTTCTGCAGAGTCGTTCTTGTCCACTCGTGGCGAAGTCTCCATAAAGGAATCGCTTCGGCAAGCACTTGCCGACAATCTCCACAATGCGACCTTTCCATCTGAGCTTTATGTGCTTTAATATAGGACGCTAGCACGCCAGTTGATTCAATGCTTTGAGCTCGGAATCCACTTTTGGCATTTCGTCTTTAGTATTTATCGAAAACTATTCTGACTGCAATAGTCTACATTTTGTATGTCGTATTGATCTTCGCATCATAGAGGAGCTTTTTAAAGCGACAGTTCTGAAAACCCTGACTTTTATGTTAAGGAGGATCATATGTCGGTTTCAAACCACGAATCGGAACCTGACCGTTGCTTAACAGGTTTTGAAAGTCGGGATTGTACTTTCGTCGACTTTGATGGCTTGGCAAGTGACGCCTACCAAAAAAGAGAACCTGTCCGCTGCTATCCGACGAGTACCACTGACGCTCACTGCGGATTCTGACATTTTGGCGTCCATTTATGCATAACACTAATTTTCTCCGTGTGCACAGTTAGTGCGAAGTTCGCGCGTCTGAAGGCAGCAAGGCCCGGACTTGGCCGCATGTCTGATTCCACTGTGGTGGCAGAAGTCGAAGAAGAGCCAGTGATGTATCCCAATTTTTCAGCTTTACGTGGCGGCCAGCATACGCGGGTGTTTAGTAGTTTGCCGTCGGTTGGACGGGCATTGTTGGTCTAGTTTATTCCTGGTGACCGTCTTTCTCCATGGTGGATAACATGCGACTATAGGGTGTTGTAAAGAGTATGCATCCTTATAAGGCATCTGAAACCCCAGTCTCGCCGTCTGTGATGCATGACTCAAGACTGCGAGCACACTTGCTGCCCTCACCAACGGCAATTGCTGCCTCAGGCTGCAAATCGGGCTTTCCATGCAACAAAATCATCCTTTCGATGTCTTCTGTCTTCTCTCACTATTGATGGCTTGGCCTTGTTATTGCGCACCCTCTACTTGAGTCGCAGAGGACTGTTGACGCCAATGTGGTCTAAACGTAACTTCCAGACTTGTCCGCGCTCAATTTTTGCGGAATTTCCACTCTTATTCGTCCTGTTGTATCTACGATTATGAATACGGGGTTCACCACCCTCTGTCATGGACCGAGATGGACGTCATTACTAGAATTCGGCCATACAAGTTCCGTTTCATATTCGAACCAAACTGTGCGGAACAGCCGTTCAAAAGTAAATCATTTCGACTCGTCTCCCACCTGCCCGAGGCTTTCATTTGCCCATCACCACCTACATTATCGGTTCCCATTTATTTTCCTTTTCTCAAACCACTATCTTATGCACCTCTAGGAAATTCCAAGCTTCGGCATTTCATTGCAACCTAAAGCTTGTGTTCAGACGACGGCTAGCCTATCACTTGACTGATTCACTTGGCTTAGCAATCACTGGGACGCACTGAATCAATGACTCCCATGCCTACCACCAACGTGCCACATCAACGACACACTATTATACATTCACGGCAGCGCATCTTCTAATATTTAATACTTTGCCTTCTCCATCATCTGCGACACTCCCCAAACCCATACGGCATGCGAATTTGACGTTGGCGTTTAACTTAGTGGTACTGACCTTGAACCAACAAACCAAGCACGCGCGTTTTTCTGGCCATATTCTCCCATTCTAGTGTTCTCCTGTCAGCCGCGCCGCTCATGCTGTTAACAAGATTGATTTTGGTAACTTCACCTTCCTTATTCAGACCGACGGGAAGTTCTTCCTTCGGGTTTTTCACACGAATATCGGTCCAGGAGGGTAGCATATGTATTGGCTGTACTATATTCCCGGGAGCTGTAGCCAGACGTCATAATTGTATCGAATTTCTTATTTGTTTGTGGCTTAAATAACTAAAAGTTACCCAAAATTTCATCATAAAGACACCTACTGGGAAGCCACCTCACATAACTCAGACGTGCCAACCTGCAGCCACTCCACCTACTTCAGCTCGGACAAACTTCCGTCCAGACGTTCGTAGTCATCCATGCTCCACTTAAAAATGCCACCCCTCAGTCAGTGAAGCAATGGATATTGGTCACACCACGCCTCGAGTAATGCCGCCGCACTACTTAGACAGGACACTCGAAAGCGCTGTCCGTAAACCGTCCTACAGTCTCTTTCGCACACACTCAAGCATGACTTGACATCGTCAACGCGTTGGCCTCTCCAGTGGTCACTGCCCCCTGAAACAGCAACTCGGATGCTTTATACAACAAACCCATCCTTTTCGTGTTTTCCACTTTGTCTTATGACTCGATACTTTGTTTGATTATCGTGGCGCTCGGAGCACGTTCTCTACCTGAGCCGCTGTAAGGGTGAACCCTTGTCGCCACATCTTCTGTAATGGTGAGGCAGTAGTGTCTGTCTGAAAGTCTGTAATTGCTCTCCCACAGACCGCAGACGAACAGTTGAAACCTTCCTCACAGTATCCCGCACGACCCTCCGGGATCTGATATTTCTCCGTCCTCTAGGTTCTTCTGGTGGACTGGGAACTGTGGTTTATTTTAATTGACGCGAAGTATTATATTAACTTGAGTTGTGCATTCTTGCTCTTTGTCCGCCTTGGAAACTGGCCAGTTGTTCCGCATATACCCGAGTCAGCTGCCGTTTACGAAAGTATAAAAGAATACATCTGTGCCGTCGTCCACATTATTTCTGTAGAAGGAATTTTCCGAACATATTGGTAACTGTGATCCCTCCTCGTTGCACTGAAATCGGTCTCTAGGACACAACGACATAAATGATAGTGATACTAATAGCCATGCGGTTTCTTCGAACTGTGTTCAATTCCTTTGTTCTCCGAAATTTGCATGCAATCCATACTAGTGATCATTTGTTGAAATGTTCTCCTGCTTTCAGCTAAATTCAAGGCAGCTTCAGCAGTGTTTTCTCCCCCGATGCCGTCTTCATGGTTAAATTTTTATTTATATTCAGAACCAGAATGCAGTAGACGGTTTGGCGCCCGGCACAGCGTTTCACTTTTGTTCCCTAACAGTATGTAGTTCAGGAACTGCCACTCATTTGGACACAGAAGTCACGCAGGACAACAAGTGTATTCGCCCTCGAGATGGACATGAGAGGCCATGCAGACCTTTGTGAAATTGCTACTTACCGTCACCGCCGCTTATTAATATAAGGGCGTAGCCGTTCATGACACTAGCAAAATGTCTTGCCCCAGGGTGAAGACCTCAGTTCGACTAAGTGATCATTGGTTCCGTGGAGAAAAGAAGTCTCATAATTAAAACGTTCCTGGTGGCGAATCTGATGGAGAATCCGGTATCATAACTTCCTTTCCTCGGAGTGCCACAGCAGGAGGCTTATCCAGCGACCGAATCATTCAATGCGCGTCTCGAGAAGCAGGTATTGCTGAGTGCAACGATGTCTACCTTGTGACGAATCGATGTTTACCGGCCAGTATATGTCGACCGGGCATTCATTCGCACTGATTTATGCTTTGAAAGCCAAATGGCTATGACATCTGGTGATGAGCACCATAAGTGACAATACACTTCCAGGCATTAGGCCAACCAGGGTTATTTATGGGAGTTTATGTTCCAAACCCGCCCTACAAAAACGGATTTGGAGATTAACGAAGCTTCTGTCTGATTATAACAACGACACAGGGATTAGCCCGCATGTACTTTAGATCAGATGTGCTAGGTAGGGTATGAACAGTCTAAGAGATCACGATTCCTTAGTTTCTTATCGTTGTATGGTTCGAAGTTAGTTGATTTTCATGTGACTGCGGAAGAATGCTATATACTCATTTTTACGAAACGACGGCTTCCTAAAGTTTTCTGTCTGCAGGAACAGACTTTGTTTTTGCAATCGCCAGCAGTTTCCAGTCTTCAAAGAGGCCTGCTTTCTTTTGGTCGTTCATTATCCAACTTTCTCGGCGCACATGCTAGCTGACGGCGACTTTATAAATACTTTGTAATTTGGTTAGTTATGACTTTATATTTTAAACATTACTAAGAAGGAACATAGAGGTTCTTAAACGCTAGGATAGATCTAACATATGGTTTGTTTCCTAAACAGCTTGCACCTCTAAAGCTTTGAAAGGCGCTAAAATACGGTAATCGGAAGATTTTAACGCACAATTATTTTCGAGTAGGAATCATACATATCTCTAGGAGACTCAGACAATTGTGATGTTTTTCAGGGCTACGTTGCCAAATTCGGAATCTCGGGACACTTGGTATTTTTCACGGGCACAAATAACAACATTTTGCGAATAATTGACATGGAAAACATGGCAGTACGTGACATACTTAATATGAAGTCTTCTTATCGCTAACATTGTTATTTTTAACGCAATAATCTTTAAATGAATGACTGCCGAGATACTTATTGCCAGGCTGAGTTTGGGTACCTTGACCTAACAGGCTGAAAT